CGTGTATTCCCAGGGTGTAATACAAAAACCCTCAGAAGATAGTGGCTTGCCTTGGTCACTGGTTGTGACTGGGGATTTGAGAAAGTGCATGTGGAGATACTCCCTAGCGAGCGCCAATATAGCCCTTGGTTAACTTTTGGCTGGTGGGGGCGATTGATCTCCACAGAATCCCGCAACTCCCCTTGTTTGAAATTTCAAATTTGCTGGAACCCACCCTTGTGTTCGGGCCACCTTTCAGGAAATCAAGTCTTAGCCCAAAGGGTTTTGAAGGTTTGAATGCGTTTTTGTGGATTTCACCTGGTCTTCCCCTTGTTGGTCCTTTTTTTCGTAATCTTTTGGTACCCTTTTTCTATTCTACAGGTGTGGATCCACAAATTCGCCGCATCGAAACCCTATACGCTTGCGGTTTTGTTTTCACGCGCTCGCGAGCGAGGGGGACATCCTTGACCCTCATAAACCATCCAAGTGGCGGTTCCCTTTTTCGGCGACCAAAGCCTTCGTTCCATTCACATCCCTCCCGATTTCTTAGACTCGCTGCCGAAACCGAGTCAGTCCGAGGTTTTTGTGCATGTTGCTGGCCACGATGCTGAAGCTTTGGGACGCGATCGCGCACTTCTTGGTGCCCACGCCCACCATCCGCCAGACCAAGCCGCCCAAGGAGGATCGGGATCGGATCGAGGGTTTCGGTTTGGCTGTGAAAACCAATGGGATCCCATTTTGGGGTTTTCGGTGAATTCACCACCCATTTTACCTATTTTAGTGGTTGGATTTGGATGTTCACTGGAAATACCCATGGCCGTTTCGGTTTGGGAGCTTTTGGGACTCAACGGCTTCGTTTCGGGTAGGTTTGAAGGGAAACCAGCCGGCAGGCCAGCAGCATTAGAGGGGGTGCCCTGAAACATATTTCCTTTTCTCACTACCCTGAGTGTTCTGGATATGCTTTCCCAACAGTGCACTTTAGAGGACAACTTTGTTACACACACAAAAAGTTCAGGGTTTGGCCCATCCGCTGAAGTGAGTTTACCTTTATCCACCCTTTTGGCCTCAGGATTCGTGAACCCACACTTCGCAAACAATGTTTTGGACTTTGTTTGGTCAATCCGCTATCAGCCCCCAGCTTCAGCAATCAAGAGGGTCCCCAATTTCGGGTTGACACCTGCCGGATATTTTAGCCTGTTGTGTGCGTGTGTGCGTCATACAATCTAACGTTCCGCACCCCAAAGCAATGTATTCATGATCATCTATAGCAAGAAAGAGAACCTGGCAACCAAAAAAAATGAGGAATGAGGGCTACCATAGATCCTCTTCAGCTTCAGTTGGGGACAGGCATATTCTGCGTCGCACAAAATCCGCAGACGGACGAATTGCTAGACGAAATCCTGCAACAAGGGCTGCTTAAATCAGCGACTTTCATCATAGGTGCACGGTTTTTTGGGAAACAGTCTACATTTTTTGCTTATTGTGGTTTAGTGGGATATCCCCACTTAATTGTTAAAATATACATTAGTTGCTCCCCTTCCAACGTCAACCAAGAAGTGATCTCGTTCTAATTTGTGGAACATGTGGCTGCGACCGGCTCACAGGGTAGCTGCTGTATTTGCTCATTGATTGAATCAAGAACCAGCAGCAACAGCACACCCATTGATATCAATTTGGTTCACGTATATCTGTCTGATATCGGCGTGTGTTTTTTGGAGGGTACCTTTTTGCGGGGTTGGTTTACAGGGAAACCACCACGCAAACCACCATTTTTGGGTCCAAACACCTACTCCGACACAAACCCATATTCGCTTCGCCGCAGTGCACGGAGCTCTATGACTATCTGATCCGTGCTGAGCATTATCCAGACGAAGACTCAGTCAGTGAGTCGGAGGAAGACATCTCGGATAGTGCTTAGCGCCATATTGTTGGGGTCTCCTCCAAACATAGTCTTTGATTTTGGGTAGACTGAATATCGAGCAGAGTCAGAAAAGAAACATAACTTTCTATGTACCCCAGATGTGCACCAAGATATAGGAGGGAGGGACGTTTTCTACAGCGCTTGGCGCCTACGGAAGCACCTGAAAGCTCATGTTAACCTTGCTACGAGCCGTTTGGACGTGCACATGTGATTTGTTCCCCAAAGGATCCAAGTATCTAGGATGTACCAATGTACCTGAAGTGCCAAGGGGTCAAGGTAAATCCTCATAGGGGGACGCTTAGGGCCCTGAGTGCTGTGTGGGAACGCCTTGCGCCGCAGACGTTCTATAACTATCAAGCTTGCAACAGAATTCGGCAAAATAATTCGCCGGCGATGGGAACGCATCGCATTCACAAATGGCCTGCAGCCTTGCTGTATGATCTCGGTTGCTCGGTGAGTCCGTTAGCCTTCTAGCCCTTGCTTCCAGCTACCAGTGCCTTCGGATTAGAAGGCTGGAAATCATCCCCTTCAGCTGAATCCGGAGTGAGCCTGTGGGAGGGTATGCAGAAGATCAGTGGCCTCTGGGTACCCCTTGTCAGGTGCCATGTTTGTGGGAGAGAGGGTACCACTATTTACCACTACCTGGAGTCTCCAGACCCTCAGAAAATGCTGTGATTACCCACAATAAAAGGGTCATAACCAGCCATTGTCTTCCATTTGCTTAAGAATATGTTTCATCTTCCCTTGTTGGTCTTACAAGGAATTTCTCACTACTGGACATATTTTTATTTTTTCCTGGGGTCTTAACCAAATGGACGGCACTGCAATACGTAGCCAGCGGCCACGAGTGTGGCGTACAGGTAGCACATGTTTGGCAGCTTTCAGCTGGCTGCAAGCTGCCTGGCCCTCCGGTCCCCAGGTGCCCGGCCTCTCACCCCTGTGGTGGGGAGAGTCGGTTCCACTGCTAAAATAGACAGAAACAAGTTGGTACCCGAAAGTTCTAACCTCTTCTGGAGGGCCTTGCTTGTTGGGGCTGTTTTCGGGGCAAGACAAGGAATGCCGGCCCTAGCCTCCCAGCAAACATGGAAGTGCGGAAGTGCACATACCCCCTTTCCAGAAGTGAGGTAGCTTTTCAAAACGGGATTTCCACTTGCATGTTTTGTTGGTGGGAGGGTATTGGAGACACACCCAGCTGGACGATCCCTTTTTTTCTCGATTTGTTCTAGGGGTCAAACAACAACAGGGGGTTGAACCACCGAACTAAGTTGGGGACATGGAGGTTGAAGCTTGATTACACTCTTGGACTGTCACTTTAGAAAAAAACAAAAACAACAGCAAGTTGTGTTCCTTGCGCTCCAGCAGCAATGATCTTTCTTCCCACCACTCAAGCATCAATCGAAGAAGTCAAGTGTGCCATTGTTAAAACACAAGTTGGGACGACCAAGGCTGGTCAACCCTTCACTTTCAGGCCAAGGATTTGTTGGAGCCATGGCGATGCCGCAGTGGTTTTCGATTTCCTTGCACTTTAAACTCGGGACGTTTTTATGACATATCCGGTTGAGAGCGCAAATTTGGCAAGGGCTCAACGCACCAGTATGATGGGTTTTGACGATTGCACAAAGCTTTGGTTTGGATCGGAGCTTCCTCGGTCACTTCGGATCTTTTGTTGAGCGCGCAGCGCGACTCGCGTGTGTGTCGGCCGCGGGCCGCGACGGCAGCGCGGCACACCTAGACGAAGTGCTTGGAGGAAAAGGTCTAGCCTGCCTCTCAACTGAGGCAAACAAAAGCCCACCAAAAAAACTTGTCGGGAATGGTCAACTAGTTTCAACTAGAAGCAAGGAGAAAGTTGATCCAGTCGTAGGCAATTCAAAGATCCTTCTAACCTCACCAGGGTTGTCAGTTAGCACCATAGAGGGTAGGCATGGCAACCAGCGCTTTAGCTGACAAGCCTACGACTGGGTGTAACACGGTTTTGGTTTGACACTTTCTGTCTGGGGGGCCAACCAACCTGTTGCAATACAATGCGTCAAACAGATATGTCCAGTCGACACGCCTACCTCCGCACAAGGGAGGTCAACTGTTGGACTTGGATGCTTGGCCAAATTCACACTTTGAGTTCTGGTGCACTAACAGCGTCAACTCCACTTAGACGGACATCCAAGCGGCTGACTCCGCGACTTACTAGGCGGAACACGCAAGTGGCATGTCCGCGAGCAGGTCTGATGGCGTTTGTCCGGGGAATGCTCGACAACTTCCACCTAAATGGTTTCTATCAAAAGTCAAACCCCAATGTCGCTTTTGCAACATGGGTACCCTCAAATGGTAGGGGGTCCACCATTCTGAGAAACGTCCACATCGCCCGAAAAACCATGGAGCATTTGCCAGCAGTGAGGCTCATCCATGTTGCAGCGCAAATATGGAAGCGCAAAGCTTTCCAGAATGAAGGCGGTCTTGGGCTCTGTGCGCCTTTGGGAGGTCTCTTTTGTGCTGAACATCCGTGGTTTGAATGTCTCAGGGCAAACTATCGCTCAACGGAGGTTTGCGGCCGTAGGATTGCGGGTGTTTTGTTGCCTCCGGTTCACCCAGAAATAGATTGAAAGGGTGCAGATGGAATCTTGAAACACTTCGGATCCACCTCCCCACATTGTCCTAGTCAGTTGCGGGCCAAATGGTTTAGTCAGCTTCTCCTTGAACTTGCCCTTGGTAGATGACGCCTTTTGGCCCACATGCTCAGGTAGCTATGGACCCTCTGAATCCGGTTCTTGTCGCCCAACACAAATCGTTTTGCGATCTTTCGACTTCAAAGGTTTTCCCTTGGTCCATCTGTAGTCACAGGTCTAAAAGGTTAACTGCTTTCCTGTTTTTTCCCCTTTTTTTTCGGGGTCCTTTGGAGTGAGGAAGCCTGGTTCAACCTCAGTCTTCTATTCGCAACAGAAAGTGGTTTCCCTTATAGTGGTGATTCCCTAAATGTCTCTTTCAGCCAGAACATCAGCTCTTGAGCCTTTGTGGGGTCATGTGTTAATAGGGATCTAGGAGAAAACATATATATGGAGCCCTGCGCGACAGTTTGCGGAAAGGCGAGAAATTGCGACCGCGACAG